TCGAAACATCTCTGAGTCCCCTATACCTTTATGTTTCTCTAGGACTTGTTGCCCCTTCCCCAAATTGGTAGCCGGCCTGGGATGTGGGAGACGACCGAGTCTTTCAGAAACCCTTGGGTCATTAATCTTCGAGCTTATGTGGAGGGGATCCTGTCGACGTTGCTTTAGGAAGTCTCGGCAGTCACGATAAACGGCTTTCGATCCTTCCAACATTTCTGCAAGGAGGTGTCTTCCTCCACTTCTCCTGCTTCGGGTTGAAGCAGCTGGGTTGAGAGAAGTCTCATGTTGATCAATGTTTTGATGATTAGCTCGCTCCTCATCAGGGATACCCATGTCGAAGGAAGGTGACCCTCCTTGTTGGGAGGCATCCAGATGATGGTTGATGTCCACAGGGGTAACGAGTTCGCGTGTTTGAGTACGCCTAGTTTTGTGGAGCATCTCAAAGAGCTTCTTATACTGCTCCTGGAGGACCTCATTCTTCATTGCTACCTTGTTGTTTTGAGATTATAGCTCATCGACTTTAGCTTGAAAAGCAACCCTTTTTCCTTCCTTCTTTCGTTGCTTCGCACTAGGTGCAAGAGAGGTGTCATTCTGTGTGCTGTGGCTTCCTTCACTCCCTATGTTCAAGAGGGATGCCTGGTCAAAAGAGAGTGTACGAATGGTGGAAACCAGCTTGATAAAGCTGAAGAGAGTGGGAATATGTGTCATTCCCACTGACGGCACCAAATGTTGATGCACAAAATCAGTGGGAACTTTGGTACAACAGAAAATGTTAAGTTTGTGACGCTAAATTGCTCCAGTCACTAGTGTGGATAAGTATGTAAATGGATAGGGATAGGGAAGCAAACACAAGATGTACATGGTTCACCCAGATTGGCTACGTCCACGGAGTAGAGGAGTTCTCATTAATTGTGAAGGGTTTACACAAGTACATAGGTTCAAGCTCTCCTTTAGTGAGTACTAGTGAATGATTTAGTACAAATGACATTCAGAAATATTGTGAGAGAATGATCTCTATTTATAGAAGAGAGTTTCTAGTTTCATTCTGACATTGACACGTGTCGTGTTGTGATTGGCTTCTGATGTTGACACATGTCACACTATGATTGGCTTTTGATGTCGACACGTGTCACGCTGTGATTGGCCTCCTGGTTTGAGGGAAACTCTTCTGGGTCCTTGACGGTACAACGTTGACCGATGCTCAATAGTTTCGGGATTGGTCAAGTATGGTACAAACAAAACTATTCTCAAAATCATAACCCTAACCGATAAATTCAAGGACCATACAAATAATTAACCAACTAATTAAATCAAGAATAAGTAAATAAAGAGATTAAGAACGTACCAAAGGTGACATTCGTTGGAAAATTGCAACAGAAAGTATGGAATTGCAGAGATAGAGATTTGATTGTGGATTTAAAGAAATTATTTTTCTTTTCTTGAGTAAGAAGCATAAAGGCTAAATTACATAGGGTAAATGGTCTTTTTCTTTAAAAAATAGGATAAAGGGGGACTGGAGATAGAACTAATTTATAATTTTTAGCATAAAACGTATTATTTACTACCTATCATCTACTAAATATACATTAAATAATAATCTGTATTGAAATTGAGTAGGCTATAAGCATGAGTTTACAAAAGAATAGATCTATTCACAAACCCATTTTTACTTCCAACACAACCTTATTAATATTTTTTCAGTGATCATCTTCAATTCATTTTATCCGAACAACCGACAATTAATAGAGGTGTGTAAGAAGTAAAAATGTGGATAGCACTACCCTTACAGAAAACCTCCATACAGTACAACCCACCTTAGCCTTATGGGTGGCTACGCCATTATGCACTTCAAGAATTTGATGTAATAAAAATTTGCAATGCAGTAACTTCCAACTTCTATCAGGATACCACGCTCACGAGCGGCTTCCGATGCCTAAGTCAAAACAAATTGTGAGAGAAACTAAACTTGAGAGAGTTCTGAGTAGGCAAGGCTTTCCGATGTGGAATTCATACTCTCAACATTAATTTAATAACAAATTATAATTAGTTCATTGTATATATTAGCTCGAACCAACACCCAAATATCATTGGATCATTAGAAAACCCACATATAAAACTCCCTAACTTTCTTCCCACTTTCTTCATATATTTCATTTGCAATAGAGGTTACATTGGGATTATAATAGCTTGTCAGCATTGTACCAAAAGAAAAAATAATTAGTTGCAGGTTCAACTCATATAAATGATGATAAAATTGATTGTTAATGTTGTGTCTGATACCTAGTTATGATTGGCTCTTCGTTTAAACCAAATCTCGTCCCTCCCATACAATTAGAATTTCGTTGTATAAACAAAGTCTTGGCTATTTTGGGTTTTCTTATGCTGTTAAAAGAAATGTATATGGACTTAACATAATAGGCGTGAAAATTTGAGAATGTGATTTGGGGAAAATTGCTCTTTTGCAGTTTGAATACTAGATGCCAGGCCTGCCTGCCTCATGGACCAACCGCACTAGACATGGAAATGCCATGAAAAAAAACTTCTAATACTATGTGGATTAAACCGTTGGCATACTTGCGGCCCACAACGAGGCTATGAGATTGTGAGGTCCCTAATCATAATTTTACAAGTTAAAACACAAATTTGGCATGACTAATGTTGCATAAATCGCGATTGTTAACCATAGGGTGGAAAAAAATACATAAAATACCGAAACGGACTAAAACCCAACCGAAAAAAAGAAAAAAAAAACCAAACTAAAAATATTGAATAAATCAAACCGATAACGAAATTGGGTATGAAAATTTAGGGTTTTCAATAAGACTGTCTCACTGGACTCTCACTCGATCGAGTCTCCCAGAAGGCTAAAGGTAAGAAATTTGTTTGGGTTTCTACAAATTGTTCTAATGAGGGTTTTTGAATGTGTTTGTTGTTCTGAAAAGTGTGTGTTGTTTACATTGCGAACGCAGATTGGGTGACCAAATTTCAGCCCAAAATCCAAATAAAATAAAAAAGTTCAACAATAATTTAGGCCTGAAAGCCCGGTCCCGAATCGTACCGAAAAACTGATTTTTTTTTTGAGAAAATCAAATTTTCGGTTTTCGAAATCATGTCCCGAACATTATTGGTTAGGTATTTAGTGTAGGGGTGTGCTATCCACACAACCTTTGTTAATTTATGTCTGTTGATTTTCTTCAATTCATCTGATCCGATGGTCGAAAACCAAAAAGGTGTGGGAGAAGTAAAAAGGGGTATGTGGATATCACACCCCTTAGTGTATGGTTTTCAGTTTGGTATCCGGAATAAAACCAGCCCTAATTAATCACATTGCTAATCACACCTCTATGAGAAATATGATTAAACCAAAAGGTTTTCAGGGAATAGGATACCAATAGTTTAGGGCTCGTTTAAATGTGTTTTTAAAATGACTGGATGTGTTTTTAGAGAAAATGTTTTTGGTTTCAATTCTACAAGAAATATCAGTGATGTGCTTCTTCCAAGAAGCATTGTAAGTGTTTTTTTAGGATTTACTAGCATTTTTACTAAGGATTGCTTCAAAAAATATTTTCACCAAAAACATTTTCAATAATTTTTAAAGCATATCCAAACGAACTCTTATTCATTTTTTTTAGGGCATATGATGAAGTAGGGTAATTTAGCTCAATAGAATATGAGGTGTAGGGCGAAAATTATTAATAAGACACCCTACAAGGAATTTTCTTCTAACCAAATTCAAGTGCCAAATGAAATGCCTCATTTTACAAGTTTTAGCCGTCTTCAACATTATCCAATAATTTTTTGTAGATACCCTTGACAAGCCTTTACAAATCATAATATTTGTCAACATACGTCGGCATAAGCTAACTTTCAGTGAATATCTGCAAGAATCGACATGTGTCCACCAAATACTCGACAAAATGGTCCAATAAAGTTTTTTCATTGAAAATAATGACCACATTACTGCCACTGAGTATAAGATGAATATTTTGAAATTTCAACAACACGATAGTTGTCTACACTAAACTTATTAATATATATTTTGTTTTAGTATATTTAGCGTAATGTTATTGGCACTCCAGCCCAAACGCACTCTTTTAACTGAAGTTTTCGTTTCATAATTTTATACCAAGGGAATATATAATCTTTATTCTAATAAATTGTGATTTTTTTTAAAATGAAATTGTTGCTTGATTGTCTCTACCTGCTACCTTTGTTGGCCAGAAGACAATAAGGAAAAGAGCTTTGCGTAGGTGGCTGTTGACCTAAATTTGGCGTCTACTCCATCTACCGTTCGTGTGCGTGCATTTGTTTGCGAGTTTCTTTCTGCTGTAGTAGAATAATGCTCGACACAGTCACAAGCATTCCTAATTATATTTTAAACCGTTGACACACCATGATTTGCACTAAACAAATCATATTCTTGTTACAGCAATTAGTCTGCTGCCATCGAATCTCTTAAATTCAGCTTTGCTCTTCTGCGCAGCAAAGGAGAAAAAAAATAGGGTGTCTTAACGGAACTTTTGGTACTGTTCACTTTTAACGTTAAAGATATTTTTACTCTAAAAAGTCACTCATGGTACTATTCACTTACAACACATTTTTGTTCTTTTGATTAAAACTTAAAATTTTCAAGTCATTTTCATTAGTTTTCTTAATGGTCGAACTTTAACTAAATTTCATTTAATTAAATCCCAACGGTTCACTCGTGAAAAAATAAATATAGGGGAGAATTTCCGTCTTATGATTTAACTCAAGTATGCTACCACACAGCAACTTAAACCTTACAAACCTAAAATTGTATCCAGTTGCAATGATGCCCACACTAGTATGTGTAGCCTATATAAACATTAGTGGAGTTTCTTGGGACGGTCGCAGTCGGGGCCACACTTGTATTGGTGTCACCCACGTGCATGGACGACTGCTCCTAGTAAAATCTTGACACTATTGTTCACCAAACTCTTACATTGATGCATATCTTAAATATTGTGCGAGTTGCAATTGCCTAAAAAAGAAAAATTATTAGAAATTACAGTACTATTCCTTTCAGTTAAGCTCAAACCCTGAAGGGAACAAAGGGATTAACTACTAGTAGTAGTAGATACATATATGGTACAAAAAAAAAGCCCTCCTAGCTCCTATTATTTTATGAATTGAGATTCTCTCCGAATCTCGATGCCTGGAGCGAACAGACCTGAAAATCTGGACCACTCATAAACTCAAGGTCCGGATCTCTCTCTCCCTCTTGGAATGGCCCAGATTTCTCTGTCCCTCGGCTCCGAACTGCAAGATCCGAAGAGATCCAAATTCTTATTTTACATCTGCAAAACTACAAATATATATATATATATGCAATGATCTGCAGGTTCTGGCTAATATGTTACAAGTACTCAGCTCTCATATATACATTACATAATAGTTCCAAGTTAAACAAGTTTAAGTGGAGATCGATGAACGAGCTTCTTCGACCAATAATTTTCGAAGAGTGGCCGCGTGTTGATTAATTTCAGTTCTCTATACCCTTCACTACTTTCATTTTCATATCTGCAGCAGCACCATCTTTGCTGATAACAATCTTGAGCAATTTAAATGTCTCGTGAGCCTCTTCAAGCATTTGAACCACACTTCTCATGGAGGGTCTTAACTCCGGTACCCTAGCCGTGCAGAGAATTGCAATTCTTAAAACCTTGATAGCCTCTTCTTTGTACACCTCTGGAATATATGAGTCCACCATGCTTAATATGCTCTCTCTACTCCCAAGCATGCTGCTTACCCAGCTCACTATATCCTTGTTCTCTCCGAACTCTGGTTCTATCGGCCTTTTCCCCGTCACTAGCTCCATTAGTACCACTCCGAAGCTGTACACATCGCTCTTCTCATTCACTTTGTACGTGTATCCATATTCTGCATAATTAACAATTACATTAGCCATAATTAGTAACAAATTAACGAGCTCAAAAGTACTAAAATATTTAACTTGAGTTGAGTATTTGACTAACCAGGAGCAATGTAGCCATGTGTTCCGGCAATAACATGAGTAGAGTCCTTGTCTGCAGTGGCCTGAACAATCTTGGCAAGCCCGAAATCCGCAATCTTCGGCTTCAAAAACTCATCCAATAAAATGTTACTCGACTTGACATCCCGGTGCATCACCAGCCTCTCCAAGCCATGATGCAAATACTCCAAACCTTTGGCTGCTCCCACTGCTATCTCATGCCTTGTCTCCCAATCAAGCTTCATCTTTTGGCACGTATGAAGCTGATCCCACAAGCTACCATTCGGCATGTACTCATACACCAACAAGCTTGAGTCCTCGCTTGTAATGCTACAGTACAACTTCACCACATTCACATGCCTAATCGAGCTCAACGTCTGCACCTCAGCATTAAATTCCTTCGACTTCCCACCGCGTTTTGCAAGCACTGGAGCCATGCTCTTGAACCTTTTCCTGTCACTTGGATCGGTGTTCCATATGTGCTTTACAGCGAGATCTTTGCCATTCGCAAGTAAAACTCTGTAAACGTTTCCGGAACCCCCTTTTCCAATAAGATTCTCTTGCCTAATGGAATCAAGAATTTCACCCTCGGTGAAGCTCATCACATGAAAAGAGTTTACGTCCCAAGATTCCTCCTTTAACGAACGGTCTTCGTCCTTTTCGCGCTTCTTTAAGAACAAGAAGCATGTGAGGGACACAAGCAGAATTGCTGAGCCAGCCGAGAAGCAAATAATTAGCGTCCGCACATCCTTGGACATCCCAGAACCAGCAGAACAATGGGGGAATGGGCTTATGTCCGTGCTGCAGAGTCCGGAGTTACCAGAAAAGCTACCGTTGTAGGCTGCAATCGACAGAGATTCTGGTATGGCGCCGGTGAGCCTGTTGTGTGATAGATCAAGAAGACTTAGCCTTAGAGATGCTAAGCTCTTTGGGATTTCACCCGAAAGTTGATTTTGTGACAAATTCAGAGAGTTCAAGGTTGGGAGAGAGCCTAAAGACGATGGGATGTCACCGGAAAATGAGTTTTCTGCCATGTTTAAGTCGCTCAGTAAATTACAGTTTCCTAGAGACTCTGGTATCGAAGCAGAGAACATGTTGCTCTGCAAATACAGAGTTCCCAGATGCGTCAGGTCACCAACACTTCCAGGGACGTTCCCGGAAAACCGATTGTTGTTCAAAACAATGGACACCAAAGATGTTGCTTTGGAAATCTCATCCGGCAGCTCACCAGATAACTGATTGTAACTGACGAACAACTGCGCAAGCATCTTTGCATTTCCAATGTCAGAAGTTATCGGGCCTTCGAATTGATTGGAAGTAAGGTCGATGATGTGCGCATTCGGCAACCCCCAAATTCCAGGAGGAACAACACCGGACAGCGAGTTGATGTTGACTCTGAACCGCTTCAATGTGGAACACTTAGCGTAATTCGCAGGAATTTCGCCGGTAAACTTGTTCTGGAGCAGGAGAAAGCCTCTCATCGTCCCCATCTTGCACATATCGGGCGGAATACTTCCCGTCAGGAGATTCTCAGAGATATCGATGAAATCAATCTTGGACCAAGAGCCAAGTTTCTGAGGCAGAGGACCGGTCAGCTTGTTATTGTACAACGACAGATTGACAAGCTTCTTGAATTCCCCGAACTCCATCGGAACTTCTCCGGAGAAACTATTCTTGTACAATTGGAGGGAAACTATGTTCTCCAAGAATCCCACCTCCGACAAATCGCCTTCGAGTAGATTCATGGAGGCGTCAAAGTTTTCGAGGTTGGTGAGATTTCTTAGGCCGGGAGGAAGCGTCCCGGTGAACTGGTTGTGGTAGAGCTCGAGCTGCCAGAGCTTGGTAAGCTTTGTAATCTCGGATGGGATTTCTCCGACCATGCTGTTGTCGGATAACTCCAAGTTGATAAGCTCCGTGAGGTTTCCGATTCCTTTCGGAATCGAACCTCCGAGGCTGCAATTCGACAAGTAAAGCCAGTTGAGTTTGTTGAGATTCAACACCTCGGTTGGGAATGGGCTTTGATCAAAAGGGTTGTCTCCCAAGCTCAATCGAATCAAACCCGTCATGTTCCCCAATGATTTCCACGGAAAAGTACCCGAAAATCCGCTGCAGTTCAGATGGAGATGTTCTAACTGGGACAGGGATGATATGTCGGGGAACGATCCTGAGAACAAATTGTTGCCCAAGTCCAAGTACTTCAAATTTACGCAGTTGTTCAAGTCCTCCTTGATTGTCCCGTGCAAGAAGTTGAATCCCAAGGAAAGTGTTTCCAACGATTCGAGCTGGCATATTGCGTCCGCCGCAAGAAACCCAGATAGGTTCTGATTCGAAAGGTCGATATCTCGAACGAATCCGTTTTCGATGCAGGCAATTCCGGTGAAGCTGCAAACGGAATTGGTGGAGTTCCATGTATTGAATATGTTGTTGTTGGTGTTTGAAACTTGTAACGTGGATTTGATTTTGAGAAGAATTTGAAGCTCGTCGGCCGCCGCGGTGGAGAGGAGGCAGAGGAGGAGGAAGAGGAGGTCGAGCGGGAGATGGGTTCTTCTCCGGTCTGTCAATGACGACATGTTGGGGGGGTCAACGGGAAAGAGGACTTGGGAGATTGCGGGGATTTTTGAAGAGGGAAGGGTGGAAGTGAGAGAGTCCAAAGAGTGCCATTTTGAACCTATGAGATGAATGATTGAGTGGTTGTAACTATTTACCCACTCGCTGTGGATTATGTTCCAAATTGTGCATGTGACCAACTTAGATGTAGGAACTAGGAAGCTTCTAAAGCATTCACATATTTGCAAAATTCGGAGAGCAACTATTTGACCAATTGGAAATGCTCACGTATTCTTAACTTTCGTGGTAAAACACTTCCATTCAAAAATGCACGTCTAGATACATTCTTAACTTGTGTTATTTAAAAGTTTCAGAGGAGGTTGACTACCTCACCACCAGTATCAGGGTACACCCACAACCTCGAGCCGAAAGAACTTGCGTGTGATATTTAACTGTCAGCTGCCAACGTATGAATTTAAAAATCGTGCACCAACAAGAATTGCTAACAATGAGACTCAAATCTCGATGGGACAACACACAAACCTATGAGCTTACCAACTAAGCCAACAATAAACAACACTTTTTTAAGCATAAACGCTATTAAACACTTTAAGGGGCCGTTTAATAACCATTTCTTTTTTCAGGTTTTAGCTTTCATTTTTCATTTTCTTTAAAATTGAAACTGAAAATAGTTACTAAACAAGTTTTTCATTTTAAAAAAAAAAGCGTGAAACGAAATGTTTATCTAACTGTCCTAACATAAGAAAATGGATCATCTCCAGATTCTTTCCATCTAATCCACCAAGTTTAAGGATCTGGGCCATTGAAATTTGATCTAACGGCATAAATAGAAGCCCACTTTAAAAATTATAATAACTGTAGCCGTTAAATCAAATTTTTATGGTCCAAATCTCTGGACTTGATGAATCACTTCCCCTAACATAAACTCCTCGTTTTTGTCCGGTATAGTTTTAGTCATTCTAAAAACCCAGCTAACGAGAATTCTGTCGAAAATACAATTATTTTTAGAGAGTTTTAACGAAAAGCCCACGGTACTGTTCACTTTAACGAAAAACCACATTTTTACACTAAAAAGTCAAACCTGGTACTATTCATTTTACCCTTTATTTTGTCCTTATCATTAAAACTCAAAATTTTCAAGTTCTTTTCATTAGTTTTCCTTTATTTTTATATAAAAGTGTGTGAAGGAGCTTTGTTTTAACAAGTATACTCCTTTCTAACCAAGCTCGGTTTGGTATTAATATGTAAAATTAATTTGGTAGCAGTCTGCTTCCCGAGGCTCATCTGTATTTCATATAAATATGTATTTTATTGGCATTGTTTGTTGGTGGTACTCCAAGTGTTTGTTTAATCTATCGTTTTGACGCAATATGTATTCTACAAAACTTTTTTCAATGATCCAACCGTCAAACTTATTTGTGCACATTCCAAGATCGCATACGTAAAAAATTGTAAAAAACAAACATTCAAAGATTACGTAATGGAACAAAAGTTTTCAATGATTATAATAAACGAAAAATCATAATTTAACGGTTATTTTAGCTCCGATTTTGATGATTTTTTACAGATACACTCCTCGACCCTATAAGAATGTAATGAATAAATTTGATCTTTAATTTAAAGTATTTACACTAGTGGATACCACAAAAACTTATTTTATACTTAATAGAAGTATAATATTAACTTTAAGTGTTTGTTTAATATACCGTTTTGACGCAATATGCATTATACGAAACTTTTTTCAACGATCCAACCGTCAAACTTATTTGTACACATTCCGAGATTGCAAACTTAAAAAATCGTAAAAAACAAACATTCAGAGATTACGTAACGAAACAAAAGTTTTCGACGGTTATAAACGAAAAATCACAATTTAACAGTTATTTTAGCTTCAATTTTGATGATTTTGTACATATACACTCCTCGACCCTATAAGAATGTAATGAATAAATTTGATCTTTAATTTAAAGCATTTACATTTTGTTATATATGAGTGATTGTATATATATACTTTTACATTTTTTACACTTCTACAATAATTTTTATTAATTTTATTAATTTTTCCCTCAAATAAAAAACATTATTCATGAGGGTTTGAAGGATTGTAAAAATCTAAACGATAAATTATCTATTCGTAGAGGAATAATGATAAATCACGAGTGTTTATATATTCTTTCACATTTTTCATACTTGTATGTATGTCTTCTTTGTTCTTGCATATACAAATATTATATTAGTATATTTTAATTTTGGACAAGAATATGTTATATAAAATTTATCCTAGTAATGATAATAAGGAACTCTCATAATAAAAATAAATAATGACTAAAACTTTTTTTTTATATATAATTTATATAGAACAATAATACAAAACTATATATTTAATATAGAATATATTGTATATATTAATATGACTATTGTATTTTATAATAAATCTTTTAGTAATTAAACTTTAAAATGATTAAAATAATTTTTTCTTAACGGGTCGAAACGGGTTACCCACATGTTACCCGCGTGTATACCTGTTAAGAACCCATTATTAACGGGTTCTTAATGGGTCACCTGATAGTGACCCGATAAGTTATCGTGTTGACCCAAAACCCGTTATTTTCGTGTCGTTTTCGTGTCGTGTCACCGTGTCGTGTCAAAAACTACCAGGTCTATCTCAACAGCATTATTTATTGCGGCGTGGCCAAAAAAAAAATACATATTGTATTGCGGTGGCTTTCTTAAAATTTTGTTGCATACAATTTTATTAACATGGGTTTGTATTCTTCAACTTTAACATGACATGATTCTCCTTCGTCATTGGCTCATGCTACTTTGTTTTCAGACTACGTTGGCTTGCATTAATATCACTTCTCAAATCAATACGCATCTCGACATTTAGGTTTGCCTCACCTTCTTGTATATTTTTTCCTAACTTTGTGGTATTACTCGACTTGTTTTGTAGGTTTAGACCTTTAAGTTTGGTTTTAGAGGGGTGGGTTCATGTCCCTTCCCCCTCCTCTTTTATTTGTATCATTCTTGTTTTCGTTTCTAGAGGGGTAAGGTTTAAAATTCCTCCTTCTTTTTCATGTTTTTTATTTTTTATTTTTTGCTGTCTCTATTTTATGGGTAAGATTTATATCTCTCCTAACTAGATGTAACTTTTTTTTTCGTTATCAATAAAATTTTCCTCGTGCCGTTAAAATTTCCCAAAAAAAAAAGTTGTTGGAAAGGAAGATCTTGATCGGGAGGCATATGATATGAGCTGTGACCCACATTTAGTTGTTGAAGATTTATTGGAAGCAACTGAGAAGAGAGTAGCAAATTAAGCAGGAGACGTGGTATGCAAGGGAGTCATGTCAATTTCACTAGAAGTGGAAACAAGAGCTAAATGGAAGACTCAGAAATGGATCTAGACTTGGAAGATAAAACAAAGAAGAAAAAGAACAGTAGTTAGGCCTACAAGGTAGCATGCTGGTCCTACATTTTGAAAAGAGCTAATATATGCATGATATGGCTTCTTAGATTTGGTAGTTTTCTTGTAAGAGATTTGTAGATCAAGTGAATAAAAATGTTCACAATCGTTAAATTTCTAGCACCTCTAAAAGAATGTTAATCTAAATCTGGGAGTAAGGATCAAAACATTCCAATTTTTACTAACTCTTTATGCTAACAAGCGTGTAATGTGTGTTGCCAAACATGTGAATGACATCTCATACGCATTGAAAATAGTTGAAGTTTTACTATAAAACCAATTGGCAATATAGAGAGTAACTTAATTACGTATAAGCACATGTAATGTCCCTCATTTTCTCGACATGGGATTCAACTCTCAACACTCATTTATGGTTTACATTTTTTTCAAATCAAATGCAAGAAGTACATTATGAAGTGAAAGTATCATTTACTATCTATTACTTTCAATATTTTGCAGTGAAAATCATTTAGACAGAACAACAACTCAACCCACATAACAATTGTTCTTGCCTTTTTTTTACTCCCTTATTTTTTTTATTACAGTTAAAAATAGCAAATAATGGAGTGAAAATAGTTGTTTCTGTTTTCGGAAATAATTGAACATGAAATTACCCGATATGCAAATAATGGATGGACCAAGTTATTCAAATCCAACCCGTTAAGCTGATGGGTGGAAATAATTGAACATGAAATCACCCGTTCTGTTAACAGATCAACCAATTCATCTGTTACAATCGATGTTTTATTTAATTATAACATTTATCACTGTCCATATGTAGCCACCTTTTGTAGTACTGAATTGTGGCTTAAAAAATGGCTAATTGACTAAAGAAATATAACATATTTTGCTCCAGCCCATCCCTCCCATCGACATTAACCTCTTGATCGAAAGTGATGGATTTTAAGTTATTCTCCAATCCAAACTACATCCAATTTTTCTTTTTGATCAAGAAAACCAGATCCAATTCAACTACACCTAGGGGCAGATCTATTAAGGGACCTGGGTGGTTCCGGGACCACCCGGAAGCCTGGACTAGTGGCTGTGAGACCTCTGCGGACCACCCAAATAAGGGTATATGGTGGAGGAGAAAACAGCGGCGACAGTTGCTCTGTTTCGACCTTCTGCAAACCAGGAGGAGAAGAAGACGACTAACCATTTAGTAAAACGGTGTGTTTTTGCTATTGGTTTGAAAACACTCTGCTAAGCCACGTGGGAGGCTTTTTTGCCTCACCATTTTTATTAAAAAACAAAAAATCATGTGGGTTGCTTTGCTATACAGTCCACTTTACCTATTCTAATTATAATTCCCTATTTAACTATCCACTTTATCAATTCTAATATGTTTTCTCCTCCACCACTTAATCCTCTCATTTCTAAATTTAAGTGTTATATTTTAGTTTAAATTAATACTATAAAATGCTTTTTTTTTATCAAAATACTATAAAATGTTAATTCCATAATAGATTTTTGTTTTTGTTAATTTGTTATGATTTTTTAATATTATTTGATGATATGTTTATTAGTTCTTTTATATGTTTTTATCTTTATCAATTAATATAGTTTTTTTATTTTGATTAATTGATGGGTGTAGATTTTTCGCCATGAATATTCACTTTACAAAAAAATAGAGGAACAATAGTTAAATGATGGCTTAGTTGTTCAATTGAGAAAGACTTCTTTTTTGTGTG